CTATCTTATATAAGTGGCACCACCGAAATTCGAGTATTTGTCCCTAAGGAATCGGGTAGAAACCTCGGATAAATACTTAAAAACTCCGACAAGTAGCCTTGTCGTGTTTAATGATGGATAACAATAATAATAATAATAATAATAATAATAATAATAATAATAATAATAATAATAACAATAATGATAATAATGATAATAATGATACTTTTTATTTAATTGCATTGTTTTAAAAAAAAAAAAAAAAAAAAAAATTTCTTTACGGTTGTAATATTATGATAAAAATCATTAAAGAAAACGTTAACGTTTTAATTAGTATTGTTTCGTTTGTTGTTTGTTATTGTTTATGAAAATTAAATTATTTTACGAGTTGTAAAATATACAAAACAATTATGCAATTTAATAAAAATACATAAAATAAAACAAAAAATTTTACGTTTTAATTGTTTACAACGAGTCATTCATCATCATCATCATCATCATCATTATTGTGTTTTTATTGCACTCGTAATATCATCCATTAAATTTTCTTCTGCTTATTCTATTCATCGTATTAACGTTCATACACGGTTACACAACGTTTTCAAATTATTTAAATTTATCATTAACATGCACCCGGCCCACAACAACAACAACAACAACAACCTGATTGTTTTTCTTATGTTAGAATCAATATTTTGACCTTGAACAATCACCTGATTAACTCATTCACCTTGTTTTTTTTTTTATTATGAGAGAGTAACAATCACTTTACCATCTTCTTCTCCTTCTTATAGATATTTCCGTTTGTTTTATTATTTCTAAATTTAAACAACCGGTTTATTATTATTATTATTATTATTATTATTATTATTATTATTATTATTTATTATTATTTTATTAATGTACGTTAAAATCGCAGACGTGTAAATAGAATTTTTTTTTAATTTTTATTTCGTTAATTCATGTCGTATTTCATAATAATTTACGTGGATAAAGATTTTAGTTTATGCGTGTGCGTGTAAGTGCGTGCATTAATGTTTAACACGCATTTATACGTAGAATTTTACGTAAATATTATTATTATTATTATTTAATTTATAAATAATTTTTTGTTTTTTTTTTCGCTCAGCGTGTAATTTACACGAGTCCAAATAATTTTTTTAAAATTTCCGTTGGGGACGAGACATGAAGTCGAACTCAAAAATTAAAAAAAAAAAAAAAATTCCAATGCGTAGAGAGAGAGAGAAAGACAGGGGGGAGAGAGAGAGAGAGAGAGAGAGAGAGAGAGAGAGAGAGAGAGAGAGAGACAGAGAGAGAGAGAGAGAGACAGAGA